GCACTTTAAATGAATAAATTTAAAATTTAATCAATAATTAGTAGTAGTAAAATTAGCAGTTTTTAGCTATTATAAAATAATAACATAGGGACGAAGTCAACGGTTTGAGGAGTAGAATTTATTCACTAGAAAATAAGTCAAGTTGCCAGTTGATATGATTTATAATTTTTTAGATTATAAAAAATAATTTAAAAAAATAAAAAATTTATTTAAAGTTTGATTAAAAAATAAAATTGTAAAAATTCTGCATATTAAACTTTCAAAATAATTCCTAAGAATAAATTTTTTATTTACTATATTTTTATTTTATTTTTCAAAAATAGGAAAAGGATAACTTAACTTATCTTTTATCATTTTTATCTCCAAATATTAATTTTGAATAAGAAATAATATTTAAATTTTGCTTAATCACACATTCTTGCAAGATCTTAAATTTAAAATAAAATATTTATATATATTCAATTTGTAAAAGACATATTACCCATTTCTACTTCTTGCATTTTATTTGATAAGAAGACTTTTTCCATCTTTTTTAAGAAATTCTTTCTCCATTCTGGTTTTTTATCTAAGTATTTTAAATAGTCTTGAAATTTATTGAAACTAAATGTAATTGCATAGAACCCTAAAATAATCTAAACTAAGCTTGATTTTATTTTATTTTCTAATTTGCTTTGTTCAAATTTTAATTCTTAAAAATAATGATTGATTAAAAAAGAGATTACTAATTTATAATTTATTGGAAACTAAATTAAAATATTTAAATAAAATGATTGTGTGATTTTCCTTAATTATCAGCTTATAAAACAATATTTTTTTAAGAATTGTTGATGTGTTATTAAATTAAAGAAACATTATTTAACATTGTGTTGGTCATAATAATTAATTAAACTTAAAAATAGAATAAATAATAAAATATATTATGAATTTGAGTTGTATATAATTTGCAAAAGCATATGAAAGACCAAGGTTAGAAAATTTGTTTATCATTCTTCTGATAGAACTATGAGAATATTTCTATTTAATAAAGGATTTTGAAGAGTAGTATATATAGATAAGTGTGTTTAATAATATAATTTAAAAAATTTAATAAGTTGTTAATTAATTTAAATATGAAGAGAAAACTATATAAATTATCATTGTTTAAAGAAATAGACGAATTCAATCAAAAAGATGATGATGGATAATAAAGTGATGAGTCATCTTTATCTGATGAATTTCTAAATTCTACACTTGAAGCTTATTGTATTTATTCATTTTTCATTATTCAAAGAATCTTAGATATTTATAACCAGCAATTAAACTTTTAGTTCAATTGACTCAGAGCAATTATAATTTATTTAAGGAGTATTCGATAAATCTGAAGAAAGTGAATAATCATTTGACTTCAACATTACAAATGTATAATCTTATACCTAAATTTAAGATTGATTGTGACAATAGAACTACCATAATGATGAGAAATATTCCTCAAACTTACACAAAAGAAATGATTATGATGGAAATAGATCCAAAATTCAAAAACAAATATGATTATTTTAACTTCCCTTTTGATGGTACCAATAATTCTGGTTATGCCTTTATCAATTTGAAATCCAAATCATACTTAAGAGATTTCTATACTTATTTTAATGGAAGAAAATGGAAAAACACTCCTTTAAACAAAGTATTTAAAATCAACTATTATATAGCCTTGCTATTTAAAATATGCTAAAATTTAGCATAAAAAATTTAAATAAATTAATCCTTAGATCTATTTACAATAAAGTAGTGTAATAAAACTAGTATAGAGTTAAAAATTACAAAGTAATTTGTGAATAATAGTGTTACTTTTTTATTTCTCTATATTTTTTAATGTTTTTTAATCAAATTATCCAATAATAATATTAAAGAAATTTTAATTCAGTTGAGGTCTCTCTCTATAAATTTCTTTGAGTTTAATAACTTTAACTTAAATATATTATTTCAGCAGCATGATATTCAACTTTCCCATTCAGAATCTTCAATTATCTTTGATAATTAAAAATAGCTTATTCTTTATTATATCTTTGATCTTAGTATAAGATATCATGATATTGCAATAAATATTAAATATTATAATATTACAATTTATTCTTCTCATTTTTTAATCTGATATGAATTCTTATCAAATTTAAACTTAATTGTTTTCTATAGATTCATCTTCTAATATTTCTGCAATTTTATTAAGCGATCTTTGTAAATTTTTAGTATTTTCCTAGTATTATTAAAAATTATCTAAAATCAACTATTTTGTAGTCTCTTTGATTATAGGTAAGAAAAGTTGAAAATTTCACTTAACAACTTAGAATAAGAAGCTTAATGTATTTTTAAATATAGAGATTTGCATTTTATTCATATTCCAACATAAATCTGAAATTCTTCTTTTAATATACATTTAAATAATTATGATTACAAAGTTTTAAAAATTAAATATAATAAATCTTTTTTTAAAATTATTTTTATAATACCTTAAATCTCATGATAAGGTGAACAAGATACAAGATTTGAATTGTATTCAAAAATGTTTTATTGATTTCAGTTAATTTTAATTTTGAATTTGTGCTTATTCCCTATAATCTAATATGAATACTTCAAAATTTAATTAAACTGTTAATAATATTTTAATTTTAATTATTATTATTTTATTAAAAAACAAAATATAAATTTTAAATAAAAGTCTTAGAAAGTTTTTCTCACATATACATGGAAAAAACCCATAAAACTATAAATAAATATATTAAGTTGAATGACTAATTAATTTTATTAGATGAAAATGTTATGGTTTATAAAATAAATATAAAATATAATTATAAATTAATAAAAAAATTTGATGAATTTGATTGAAGAGAGTTGTAATGTATGATATTATATATAATTATATAAATCAATCTAATTCATCATCACTAAAAGGATAATCAATATGATAGACATGACTTGAATTTTTATCCTTTGTTACTTATATATGTTGTGTAGTTTGCAAAGAAGTGATATCAATGGATTTGAACTTTTTGAGTTCTTCTGAAATAGTAGAGACAGAAGAATGTTTTAAGGAATGTCTTTTCCAAATTTCTCCAGCTCCAAAAAGAAAGCAAATTTATTTAATTTTTTTAGCATTAACTTATGTTTCTTATGGTTTCCAATTCAAAAATCTAGCCATATTCTTTTATAACTTATCTCTAGGTAAATTAGATTAATTCTAAACATTTTAAACCCAAGGATGATCTAATGCTTATTATGGTGTAAGTCTTTTAAGTGGATCAAATTATAATAAATTACTTATTAAATCTTTAGCTTAATAAGAGACTTAATCCCATACTTAGCCAATCATTTCGTATTTGCATTATTATATTTTATCAATCAAATCATTTAAATAGTCAGAATTAAATGGTAATTCTCCACTTAACATAACATACAAAATAACACCTGCACTCCATAAATCTACTTATTCACTAAATAAATGAGAATATTCTTTACTTGTACAATCCTCCTGAGAATATTTCTGGAGCTGAAAATGCTACTGTTCCTGTATATGTCCACATTTCTATATTTCCATGTTCATTTAGATTACCAAATTCTTTATATCCATCTGTGAATTTAGATACCTCATAATAGTAATTAAAATTTACATTAAAATCAGTAATCTTGATTGATCTACCATCTTCAGCACATAGTATATTATTTGGTTTCAAATCTCTATGACAACAATAGTTTTTATGCATATACTCTATTGCTTCTAATATTTATTTGAACAATATTCTAGCAGTGCACTCTATTCTTATTTATTCAAATACCACTATAATTCTTCTATTTCTAAATTACTTCAAACATTTCGCTTCCCTTAACTTTTTCCATTACTACATTAACAGTTCCTGTTGATTAGAATCCTTCATTCCATTAAATATACAATTCCTCCATCTTTACTATGTGAGGATGACTCAACTTTTTTAGATTTTTGAATTCCAATATCATCTAACTCATATATTAATTTGATATACATTCTTTACTATTTCTTCAGCATCTGTTTTTACTGTCTTACAAGCTAACTCTTAGCCATCTATCTTCCTTTTTATACTCTTTACTAATCCTATACATCCTTCACCTAAAATCTCTCCTTCCTCATATTTCTCCTTATATTCACTCATATCAAATTTTATATATTTATAATCTTCCCCATCTAATTCTACACTTATTCGACTTAAAAATTATTATATTTCCTATTCTTTATTATTCACATTCTCGTTTTTATTTATCAATTATAACATCTGACCTAAGCTTTTATATACTTTTCTCTTACCTTTGAACTTATTTTTAAATTGTTGCAATGTATTTATCTATCCATTATCACATATTGGAGCTCGGGAAAATGAAAATTTACTCTTTCTTCTCTAATTTTATATATCCATATTTTATTTAATAATACTTATAAAATCAATAATTTCATTTCGTAATACTATTATTTTAAACACAATAAATTTCGCCTAAAACGGAATCCAACACCATAATTTACGTTTTATATTAATCAAGCATTTTTATTGTTGATTATAAATAAAATAAATTTATTGAAATTAATGGGAAGCGTTGAGTGCTGCTAAAACTCTTCTCGTGTTGATACAATTAAATTTGATGATCTTGATTCCTCAAGTTAAGCATCATTTTAATAAAAAAATGAAGATAAGTTTTCACCAAGAGCCAGCTCTCCTGGTTAAGAAGCACTCCCTCTTTAAGTTAATTAAAGATAACCTTTGATGTATTAAAAGCATACTTGTGTATTTACTGCCTTATAATCTTACTCTTTTAAAACTATATCTTCAGAACATCATTTCTCTAACTTTATTACATTCTAAGCACTTCCCTCTCCTAGAGATTAACAACCTTATAAAAATTAAACTCATAAATCAAACCTTTTAGAAGACCTAAATGAAATTCAACATTAATTGAGTGATGAATTGTAAAGTAATCACTACATTCATTGACCCCCACAATATAGAAAAATTATGTGAACCTTAATTTACTTATAATCAAAAATCATTAATTAAACATTCTATATATCATATATTTTAAAGTAATAGAAGATTAATTCATTTCTCATCTACTTCTATTAGAATATACAAAAATTGAATTGTCAAACTTTTTTATAATTATTTCAAATTACTTAAATTTTCTCTATTAAAATCTAATATTTTATTCTACTCTAAAAATTATTTTTTTTTTAAAAAAAACTTTTTTTTTAAATTTTATATATATATATCAATATTTAATTTTACTCCAAAAACTCTTTCTTTCTTAATCATCTTTTTAATTTATCTTTCAATTATTTAAACCTATTTGTCATTTCTTTCCATAATCTTATTTGAAAATATGATATCATTTTTATATGTAACTATCAATTAATTTTCTTTTTTTTCCTTAATTGTGAGTATTGGAGTCGATATTTTTTAATTACCTGTTTCCTAAATTTAATCGAACTAATTTTATGATAAAATGTTGTAGTAAATTATTAATCTACTGTGATTTTATAAAAAAGTAGAAAGAATTCTAAGATTATATTTACAATACCTTCAAAATAGGTTTATTTATTTAACCTTCTATATTCTCCATTTCCAAAAAATTTTAATTCTATGTATCAAAATTTATATTAGGAAATGATTTCTTGTATTTTATTTGCTTTAAGATTAACTTAGAGGACTATTTCATCTTCTTTTACCATAAACTCAAGATTAAATTTTAGGTATTCATACCAATTGTAAAAGATTAAGGGTAAAAATAAAGAAGGAAAAACTAGCAATGGTTTAAGTTTTATTTTTATTTGGCCTTTTCCCATTATAAATATCTAACCAACGATTATTTAATTAAAAAATAATGTCCCAACAGACATAATAGTGTTCAAACTGTAAAGCATAAATAGCAGAATCTGTCTTTGCATTGCATGAAATTTATTGCATTCGTAATAATATTGAATGTAAGAGATGCAGATAATTTTATGATAAAAACGATCCTTAATCTCATGAAGAAGAATTTCATAAAGGTACTGTATGTGAGTTTTGTAAGGAAATATTCTCAGGTACTTCATATCATCTATTTAGATATTTCCAAACATACAAAATGTCTTAAACAACCCGTCTAATGTATTCATTGTGGATTGGATTAAACTAAGGATTAAATATTTTAACATGAAAACATATGTGGTAGCAGAACAGAAAAGTGTGATATTTGCAAATAATATATAATGATTAGAGAATTAGTTAAACATACTGGGACATGTGTTCCTCCAAAACCAAAAGAATTAGTTTAAGAAAAACAACCAACTTAAAAAGCAGTTGAAAATAGATAAAATTCATAATAACCACAATAAAATGTTCATATTCCTAAGCCTGATTATAAGCATTTAGATTAAAAGTATAAATATCAAGCCGAAGCAGAGGTTAGTAGACCTTAACAATAAGTGCAAGCTAAGCATGAGATTTTTGGTTATGAAAAACCTTCACTTCCATATAATTAATAATAATAAGCTTAATAATAATACTAATAGTAGGTTTAATAAATAAAATAACCAATCAGCAAGTATGATAAACCTATTGAAACAAGAGCAGATCATTATTCTTAAAATAAGAAAAATCCACAATAATATTACAATTTTAGTTAATAATAATAAATTTTAGCTGAACAAAAAAGTAAACCAAAAGATTAACCACTTTAACCTACAACAAATGTTATTAAACGATAAGCATCCGGTAATTAAGAGATTAGAAATGGATATCCTTAATTAGAAAAAAATCCTGATAAATATGCTATCTAATTCTCTAATTAATAGAAATATCCAGATAGAAAGGCCAATGAACCTAGATAATACGATCCTAATTCCTATATGAATAGATAATAAGAAAATAAATATTATGATAATAAATAATTAGAGAATCGAGGATTTGACAAAAAGCAATCAGATCAAAATTTGCAAAGACAATATAGTCAACAACCATAACAAAAACATTAGTATAATTAATTTTAAAAATTATAGATAATAGCCTAAAGCACTTGATGATGATATAGATTATTTAGCTTTGGGTTTAACAAGGGAAGAAATTGAATAATAGAAGGCATATTTAGAGAGTTTGCAGTAGTAAAGAAAACCTTAAGAATCTTAACCAAAACCATTAGAATATAAGCCAAGGTCAGATTATTACTAGGCAGCAAGAGCATATAAATGATACTGTTAATTTTATTACTTATATAGATATATAGAAAAATGTTACTCAAAATCCATTCAAGTTTCCTTAATTTTATGGATTGGTATTAGTTCTGTTAGAATTGAAAGCTTTTAATTATTCTAACAATTTTGCATTTTATTAGCGCAATCCTTCTGTTTCTTTGCACATCATTTCATATTCTCTAAAAAAGTCTTTCTTTTTTAACTATTCTCTCTATTTTATATTGAGTTGAGTAATTTCCTCTATCTAATTAAATTTATTTAGTTACCTCATCTGATAATTATTTGATAGTATTTTCAAGATTTTCTATTTATTCTAACCTTTAGATTGGATTGAGAGATCCTCTATAAATATCCTGTTCACTTTCATCAATTTTTTGTTATTGTTATTATTATTATTATGATTATAGTTATAGTTATGATTAAGATAATTATTGTTAAAGTGAATTTGTTGTCATTCTAAGTTAATTAATTTCTGACTACAATTTCTATGCTTCATTAATTCTTTGCATTTGTTCTCCTTCAACTTATTATTTTAGATAGTATATTTCATCCAAAAGCATGCTAAATCTTTTATAATTTTTGGATAGAAATTGTTTTAGATCAAAGAGCTAATTAGTTTTCTCATAATTATTTGTATTTTCAATAAAATCTTCAAGATATTTGATTTTTATTTTAAGTTTCTCATTCTCAAAACTATATTGGGATTGATTAATATTCATTATAATAAATATTTAACAACCCATAAATTATATTCTAAAAACGTTCCTATTTATTAACAAAAGTTCCCCAAAAAGATTGTTGTTTATGTGATAGGACTTTTAATAATTAACTTAATAGATTTCCCTCTGTTGAGCTCTAAAAGGTTGATTTGGGTAGCCAATATCTCCTTCAGTTCTGTGATCAATTTGTACTCCTCTAGTTGTTGTCGCTCCCCCCTACTACTCATGTAAATGGGATTTTAAAGTAATTGTTTATTCTTAGCTCTACACAATTGTCTTAATAATTAATCAAAAATATGAATAAAATGATCATGAATTTAAATAATCATCCCTCTCTTCCTAATTCCAAACCATCTCATAAGATTCCAGAATTTCAATCTTCAGATTTCAGTTCCATTGTGTTTGCAATTTAGAGATTTAATCATTAAAACGTTAATATATATAATTATCCACACTAACTAGACAACAAATGGCCCTCAGCCATTGTCTTTTTACTTATAATTTTATTCTATTATACATATATACATATATCATGTTTTTAAAAAAGATTATAATATTTCTATTAATAAATATAATTCATTTTCTTCTTGAACTTTTATGATGATGATTCATTAACACATGTTATTTCTTCTAAAGATCAACATATATACTATTTATTTTATTATCTGTGCTTTCAGATTAAATAAACCGATCATATTTTTATTTATATTCTTTTTATTTTGACTAATAAAGTGGAGCATTTTATTTCTATTGCTAGGATCTCTAATCAAACATATTTAAAGAATCTGTAATTTTATAGTTTTACTCTCCCTAAACTTATGGTAAAGTTATTTAGGGTTATTCTATTTAAGGAGGCTATGTGTTGGCTCCATCCTCAGGAGTTTCAAATTATGATTTATGTTAAATTTATTACTCTTTTGGAGACTCTTCAGATAGAGGCATCTAAACTTCATATTATCCTAATTCTTTGAATTGATACAAATCATGAAGACTCTCTTAATGGTTATTAAGAACATAATTTAATTCAAGCATTTCCTTAAATAAAGGATCTACCTTTGCAAATTTTTGATAATATTCCTTTGGAGGAGCTCTTAGATTAAATTTATCTAATATATTCTAGGTATATTTTATATCTTATTTTTTCTAAATTTGAGGTTGATTATTAAGTAAACCAACAAATTTCAATTTCTCGTCTGACTTCTCAAAATTATGTTAAAGCATTTTTGGTCTTGAAAATGGTACTTATGGTTTATTCATATGTAAAACTAATTTTACAGAAGGAGAAACCTAATTTACATTTAATTAAAGATGAGAAAGTAGATATTTAGTTTAAGCTGATACTTATACATTCTGATCTTCGAATTATTCAATTTTGGTAGAATCTTTTCTTACTATTTTTTAAGGTTTCAACTTTTCACTTAAATGTTTCGCAAATGTTAATCCATCTCCCGATAAATTTGGAAACATTAGTTTTCTACCCAAAAATGTTTTTTCTTAAGCCTTTCGTTTTTATTCCAATTTCTTCTACATGATAATCTGATCTTAAATTCTTTCGTACTCTAAAAATTTAGATGTGAAAATTTTATCTATTTATCCTCTAATATATGCATCTGAAACATATAATCCATTTGAATAAAATATCATTATATGATAGCAATCATATACAAATCTTCTATAATTTTGAAAAACTACCTAATATTAACTTATTCTTTATATTATAGGTCTTTCCATAGATACCAATGGATATTATAAGTGATTAAGAAAAGAATGTAATTAATAATCTCATCTTTTGGTTAAGGTAATTAAGCAAAGAGTTTAACGTAGGTTTTAGAGAATTTATCCTTTAATTGGGTAGATCCACCTCTAAACTTCAAATCAAGAACTTATATTAATTTCTATTTCTATACTTATATCTATCCCAATTAAAGTCAATTTTGAAACTCTTTTCAACTAAAGACTTTAAAGAACTTTATTCTTAAGCTATATATTTTCAATATTTTTCAATATCCCATTTTCTATAATCTATTACATTTAATTTTGCAATTCCTCTTATGAGTTATTAGCCATTTTGTTAAAAAATAATTAAATAATCTATATAATATACTAAGTTGATCTCATATTTTTAATAATGGAATAATTTAAAATAAAATTTTGACAAATATTTATATCTTTTATTAAAATAAATCATTTTCATCGTTATTCCAAGTAATCCACACAATTATCTATAATGCAGTCATATAGATCATAGGCTGTTTCACTATCAGATAAACAAGACATATACTATTTAAATGAAACAACTATTTACTTCTTCAATATCATCTGAATCTGCAATAGGTTTGCATTTTTTCATAATAGGAACGCAAGTAGTATCATTAGCGCATGCATTAACTTCTGGCATACATTCTGATTCTAAACAATTTTTGAATTCATTTTCATCACCCACTCCACCATCTTCGTCTTCTTCTTCACCTCCATTACTCTCTTCGCCTTCATTACTGTCTTCACCTTCGCTGCTATCATCATCTGAATCATTATCTTGATCACTATCTGAATCACTTTCTGAATCACTATCTGGATCGCTTTCTTCTCCGTTGTCGTTATTATTGTCTCCATCAACTAACCTGATGGAATCCTCTAGTTAGCTTATCTCATTTCTGATTTAATTAAACAAATTCATACTATTTTGTTTCAAGTTGAGATGAGGAAGCCTCCTTGTATATAATGGATCGTGCCATCAAAATCGTACATAAACAAATTAAAAGGAATAGAGTTTTCATAATTAAAATTTATTTATTGTTTTTTTTTCCAATTATTTAATGTTAAAACTTAATGATATAGATTAGCTTAAAATTGGTAGTTAAAATTCAAATTTAATTATTTGTTTAATTAATATATGATATGAATTTGTATAAATGTAAAATATCTTCACTACAAGCATTTAGATTAGACACAATCAAGTAGAGCTACTGCAGGCTTATTACCAGAAATGCAATCTAAATACTAAAATTAATTCATATAATCTTACAGCTTAATAACCGGAAACGTAAGCTACATCCTTGCATTTTGCTAATTGTGAATTACAATCATTGTTGCAATTTTTAGCATATGATCCACATTTTTCTTCAATACATGATCTGAATTTCTTTTCTTCAAGAGTTTATTCTGGTTCATCCTTTTTCTTTTCTTCTTTCTTTTCTTCTTTCTTTTTATCTTTCTTCTCATCTTTCTTAGGCTCTTCTTTTTTAGCATCATCTTTCTTAGGCTCTTCTTTTTTGGCATCATCTTTCTTGGGCTCTTCTTTCTTAGGTTCTTCTTTTTTAGCATCATCTTTCTTAGGTTCATCTTTCTTAGGCTCTTCTTTCTTAGCATCATCTTTCTTGGGCTCTTCTTTTTTAGTATCATCTTTCTTGGGCTCTTCTTTTTTGGCATCATCTTTCTTGGGCTCTTCTTTCTTAGGCTCTGCTTTCTTAGCATCATCTTTCTTAGGCTCTTCTTTTTTAGTATCATCTTTCTTGGGCTCTTCTTTCTTAGGCTCTGCTTTCTTAGCATCATCTTTCTTAGGCTCTTCTTTTTTAGCATCATCTTTCTTGGGCTCTTCTTTCTTAGGCTCTGCTTTTTTGGCATCATCTTTCTTGGGCTCTTCTTTTTTAGGCTCTGCTTTTTTGGCATCATCTTTCTTGGGCTCTTCTTTCTTAGGTTCTTCTTTCTTCGGTTCTTCTTTTTTAGCAGCATCTTTCTTAGGCTCTTCTTTCTTAGGTTCTACTTTTTTAGTATCATCTTTTTTAGCAGGATCAGCAGGCTTTTTGTCATTTTCTAGGAGATTTACTGCTCTGCAAGAGATTAAAGATATAAAAAGCAAGCAAATTAGGATTCTTTTCATTAATTAAATTTTATTTATATTTAATTGAAAATTTTTTGTCAGTTAAATACATTTGAGTTGTGATTTTATTTAGATAAAATCTTAAATTTGGTGAAAAGAATGAAGAGATTTAATTTCATATCTACCTATGTTATTATATTTATCATTATAATTAAATAATAAGTTAATAAGGTTGTAAAAAGTAAACATGAAATTTTACAACACTGTCAAATATGGATTAATTGTAAATAGACAATCACCAATCATATTTTATTTTAAAGTACTCTAATCCTATTATTAAAAAAAATAAATATACTTTAGAAAAAAGTCAAGATTCTTATAAGCCTAAAAGGATAAATTAGCCAAAATATCTTTAAACTCATTCTAAATTCACTGACTACACTAAATTCTAGTAGTATTGTGAATTTTGAAGCCAGGTGATTTTTAAATATTTTCTTCTTTTCCTGAAATTTCATATTATATTTTCTCATAGTGAATTGAGTTTGACATTGCCCATATTAGAAAATGGGGAATATTTTTTTTCATAAATGTAGAAAATTCCTTCTTATATATATATAACTACTAAAATAGTTTGATGAATCAAAAGATTCTTCCAACTTGTAAAATAAAGCTATTATTTAGTAAACAGTGGAGATCCAAGTCAATTTAGAAATTGGGTATAATTTTTTAAAGATTTTAGAATTGCTTTCAAAACTAATTTCTTATTCATGAATTCGACACAATATCTATAAATATTACTTCTAGAATTTTACTCAAGAGTATAAATATTCGAGGCAATATATTTTAAGAGATCCATATTTATAGGTCAAATCTGAATTAGATTTCTAAACAATTATAAATTAATAATTTAATATATAAGCCATCTATTTTCAATAATGAAATTTAGGTAAGAATAGGGAAAAAAATCATAACAAATTTCCTCTCAGGGTTAATGAGCTTGCTTTTCAGAAATTACATTTATTGTGATCGAAATTAATTCAATTTTTCTCCTTGGTCTAGATTTTAATTTTATTTTAATAAAATATAAGTATGTATAAAATAACATTTGCTTTGCTGCAGATAATTAATAAATATTTGATATATTTTTCTCATTATATTGATTAAAACTTTGTAAGTGAGAAAATAGGAATATAATAAATTTTTAAATTGAAAAACCTCTTGAGTGTGATTGATATTTATTATTTTATTTCTCATATTTTTTATGTGTTCTTTTCATTAAATTATGGTAATTATAACTATATTATTTAAAATATCTAATTTTTGTTTTGATTATGTTTTCTTGCCACTATAATTAAAAACTGGCTTATTTAGAATAAGGAGATTGATAAAATTATTAATGGAAATTAAAGAACATTTATGAATTTATTATTTTAATAAAAATGAATAAGCTTCTAGCTCTCTCTGTTGGATCAATAAGTTTGATAGCAGGAAAATTAAAAATTATGGGAGGAATTAATTATTTCAAAAAACATGAAGAGGTATGAGTCTTTTTAAAATAAGATTGCACTTAATGATAAAACTATCTTGATAACTGGTGGAACAGATGGGATTGGATGGGAAACAGCTAAAAAGCTATCAAAAGCCAAAAGTATAATTATTGCAGGAAGAAATGTTGAAAGGATAAAATCAGAATTACTAAATCACAAAAATATTTAATTCATGTATTTAGATTTAAATGATTTGGATAATGTGTAGGATTTTTGTTAGAAATTTAAAAAGACTTAGAATAAATTAGATATTCTGATTAATAATGCAGGAATTTATAATTTAGAATTTAAACTCACGAAATAAGGATTTGAATAGAATTTCGGTGTGAACTATTTATCTCCTTTTCTACTAACCTATAATTTACTTGATTAAATTACAAATGAGTAAGAATCAAGAATTATTTTTGTTGCCTCTCGTGCCCACACGGATTCTCCACGTTAAGTGGATTTTAACCTTTATCTAAATTAAGAACCAATTCCATATCCATGGCATAAAATTTACGCAATTTCTAAGTTAGCTAATGTGTACGAAGCATCTTCATTTGCAAACTATTTAAAAAATACTAATATTAAAGTTTATACTTTACATCCCGGAGTTGTTAGAACTAATATGCTTAATTAGTTTAAGTTTCATTCATTTTTAGCTCCCATTGTATGGTATTTCACAAAAACTCCTGAATAAGGATCTGTTACTTCAATATTTTTAGCCACATAACCAAACCAAAAATTAAAAAATGGATATTATTATAAAGATTGCATTCCTAAGTATCTAAAAGAAGACAATAATTTACTATTTGATAACACAATAAAGTTATTTAAAAAATTTGGGTACATAAAATGAGTATGTATTATTATAATTCAATCCAAAATTGTAAATTAATTATCAAATAAAAAATTATAAAAGTTTTAAAAATTCAGAAAAAAATCAATCTAAATTCTTCTTGAGAAAAATTTATCAAATTTTTTGAAGTTTGCGAACTTGGGTTTCTTAGAAAGAATTAGGATTTTACCAATTTAGAAGAATGAATAGGAGAATTAAAATAAATTATTAGAACCAAATAATCATAGCTTAGGAAATAATTTAAATGGCTGCATATAAAAAAATGGCATCCATTTACAAAAAAGGGGATGCTGTTAGTTGCCAAACTTTGGAAGTCTTCAAAGTTCTCCTCCTCCTTATGCTTGCTTCATTCAAAAATATAAATTCGATATGTTTATCTATAATTAATTAATTTTTGGTAGTATTTCTATCATGTTTTAAAATATTTTTTTCTTAGTTCTAACCTCATGGAATTTAAAGATTTAATGCTGAGTTAGATTTTAATAGTACAAGGTTTTAAGGTTAAAATATGTTGAATTTAATTATTATTAACCAATTAGCATTTTCTGGGGAGGAAATTATATTGATCATAATACACATTATCAATCTTAAACTAAAAGGGAAATAGTCAAACAAGAATTCATCTATTTCTTAATTAACTTTTGGGAATTAAGTGATATTAGTGTGAGTGTTATGAACTGACATGATTTGTTTTTTTTAATCTTCTTTTAATAATTAATTATTTTACCTGCAATGTTAAACTTTTTAATATGTTTTTTAGTTTAAATAAACAATATAGAGATAATATTTGGTTTACGATTTTTCCAAATTTTCATCTTCAGCTATAGCATTTAATTTTTAAGAAGCCCTTTTTAACTGAAAAAGCTCTTTAGTTTCTGCAGGTAATTTCTTGTAACTTTAAAATACTCTATTACCTATCTAGATACCTCTTTAAATCGTCCAAAGAAATTCAATTTTCAAAAAGACTCCATCGCAAAAATAAGAGACTATAATTCAAAAAAAAAAATCAGTGGAACTGATGTCAAAATGTCAATTTGATATTAAAATATACTCAACAAATCAAAAAAGAAGTTAATGCAGTCAATTTAAATTACATATGAAAGAGAAGATATAAATAATAGAATAAATAGTGATAATGATATATATGTATATGAATCATTATTTCATTCTTTTTCTGATGTGCAAGCTTTTGATGACTTGTAAATCCAATTTTATAAAAGAAGAGTTTTTCATATTCCTTACATTTATAGTTTTTAACACTCCTTTTCCTATTACCACTTTATTATTACAAATTAGAAATAAAAAGATAATTAAATTTTATTCTTACATGATTCTAGATGTGTGATCGAATTCTTGCATTTCATCTTTGAATTATTTATTCATAAAAAATATTTTTAATGTTAGGAAATTTTATTATATTAAAGATTTATTTTTCAGGATTTACCATGATATAAAATCATTTTTTATCAGCATAGTCATTTTTTAAAATAAAAAAAATATTCATTAAAAACCATAAAATAATTTTTCCTTAAAATGCACAAATCATTAAAAATTGGTTTAAAACTGTTGCAATAAATGAATAACTGAGTAGTCTTTTAACCTAAGTTTAATTAAAATTAAAAAAAAATTTTGACTGTTGCAATACAATAAAGAAACAATATATTTATAATAAATTATGCTTTCTAAATCTTAAATTATATTAAATGGATTTCTCTTATTGCAAAATTGTTTTCATCATGGTGGTGAATCATTTAAATATCAATTGTTTAAAATAAAGAAAAAATCAAAATTTATAATATGTTATTATATAAAAAAATCTATTAATATGATAATTTCATTTTCACCATAGATTATCCTATACATTTTCATTAGGTCAATCCAATTTCCTTATCTTCTTTTGTTGTTCTAGGAACCTTTGAATAAGCCAAAAATTCACATTTTGACTGATAATATTTTACTCTTAAACGAGTTTCAAAAACTTACTTTCAACTTGAAAAGCTGTTTGAGGACTAATATGCTTAAATTCATGTTCTTTCTAATTGTTCACATGATTATTCTAAGTGTATTCTTATCCTTCAGATAAAAGTTGAAAATTTTATGTGATTCCTGATATAGGTTTTTCAGAGAAGATTGGTTAAATTCTTTTTAATTAGAGAGGGTATTGGTTATTAAATTTTAATGAGGAGTAATTTATTTTCAAAAACTTTTCTAATATTTCATCAGCTTGAGTTTAAGCTGTATTTATTTCATTAATTAAAGTACATTAATTGTTGTTTATAGGTGAATAAATATGTCCAAAAGATGCGAATATCTAAATCATAATAAGTATATTGGAAAAAGAACCACAGAAGAAAAGCCAAATAAAAAAAGATACTTATTAATATTTATTCAAGGAAAAGTGATTTAAAACTAATAGAACTTATTCTTAATTATGTATTTAGTGCAAAAGAGGCTAGAGGGAATCTTATATAAAAGATATATATATCTAAATAAAATATTATTAATAAGAAAAAATAGCTCTTTTTTTATTTTAAAAAAGTAAAATATTCACATTAAAGTTGAATTCCTCTTAGATGGATTTAAATGATTCTTATTTTTATATTATAATTATTTGATGGATAATAATACATAAAACTAAATGATGATATGATGAGTTAGATAAAAAGTTATATTTGATTAAATTTCTTTTCATTGATGTTCTAAGGGATTTAATTTTTGGAAGAAAGAAAATTGAGTTTATTATTAATGTAAAAAAAAAATAAAATGATATAAAATATAAGGTATACAAGGATAAATAATCAAACAAATCAATCTATAATGAACCTTACACAGTGGATTATTGAGTGAAACATATTTAATATTCTAATATATGTATGTTTTTCCAAATAAATTTTTAATGATTAAATGTTGGATGATTTTGTTTAAGGATAAATAATTTTAGGTGAATACTAACCAGATAGTGGTAATGTTTAGATTTATATTGGGATGGGATGATTGAATTGAAGGTATTGGTTTTATTAATTTAAATGATAATTTGAAGCTATTGTAAAAAATTTAATATATTTATGAATACAAGTGAATTGGTGGAGTATCAATAAAAAGTAGAGGCATACATAAAGGAGCACAAAATGACTGACTTATTTGAAAATCTGACACGATTGCTTGTTCTCTCAAAACCCTAGGATCCTTTGACATTCTTAATAGATGTGCTTGAAAATAGAAGAGTGCAACGGCTTATCCTAGTAGCAGGTGTAGTTGCTACAACAAGACAAGAAATTGTAGTATCCCTTGCTAATTTGTTTAATTACAAAGTAATTACAGTAGAAGATCACTTTAAATCTCATTGGGTGAATGATGATAAAGTAAATGAATTCATTCATGCAGAATTGAAAAAAATAGAAAAGCATTTCAGAGGAGTTATAATATCTGGATATCCCAATAATATCAAATAGGCATATTATTTATAATCGTTAGGTATCATACAAGAAAGGTAAATAAAAAATACATTTTAGGTTCTTCTATTTAGAGAGTGATCTAGATTTCTGCAGATAATATTATGAATAGATATCTTCATCATAAGAGGAAGTCAATAAGGCTTTGACTAGAGATAGATTAAATAAGAAGGATTTAGAGTATATCTATGGATCTTATATGGACATATTTAATACATCAAAAAGAACTAAAGAAGACATCATTGAAAATATCAAATAGATTATTCGTTTAAGAGATAGAAAGTTTCCTCCTCTTCGATTTCCAAGAGTAGCAATTGTGAGACCACCAGGTTTAAAAGAAAGAGCTAATCAATTAGCATAAATCTTTAGTAAAAGATATGGCCTTGTACAGCTTATTACTTTTGATATCATACAATAATAAATTCAAAATAAAGGAGCATTAGGTCCACTTATTTATAACACTCTTTAAAAAGAAGAAGAAATACCAAATGATATTATGAACAGTATTGTTTATACTGAAGTACTTTCCACTGAGGCTAGGACTAAAGGATGGGTCTTAGAAGGTTTTCCAAAAAATGAAGCTTAATTGAAATTCTTAGAAGCATAGCATGTTAATTTATTTGTTATTTTGAATGAAGATGAAGATGTATTAATTAACAAGTCTAAACAACTCAAAATAGATCCTGTCACTAAAATAAAATATGAGAAAGTCCCATTGAATAACAAACCCTTATTGGATAGATTGTAAAACTATCAAGTAATTTAATTCATTGATTTATAAATTTTAGATTCATAATGAGTAATTACTCAAGTCAAGAATTACAAAATATTAAGCATTTGTCAAATCGATTGAATAGAAGTTTGGCGAACGTGTTTAAGTCTTTAAATTAGAGAAAGATTCCACTGAGAATATTATTAGAGTTACAGATGTTTTCTTGAATAACCCAAAAATTTATAATTGATAGATTAAATTTATTTGTGCTCAATATTTATTAGAATTTATAATAAAGTCATTCAAATAATCCATCATCAAATCATACACACTTTATTGAATATCAATATTATTTAGTGCATTTGTCAATAATTCACTAATCTGTTCTTAAACATCATTGTAAGCATTTTCATTTAAGTAAAGCTCATAATTATTTTCAAATTTTGTGAGCAAATTTTCTATTGCTAATTGTAATTATCCTTAAACTATTATTTGTGCATTTTCATCTTTAAAAATTGTTAACTCTCTTGATTTGAATTTTGGATATTTTTTTGCTAAAATTTCATCAAAAGTGCTAATTTCATCTATCAATCCATTCTCAAGTGCTTATTATGCTGTATAAATCTTACTCTCTTCAAATTTCTTAATCTTACCTGCTCTATTCTATTTTATTTGATCTAATGCAAATTTAAATTCAGTTTAAAGTTCTTTATTTATAAATTCCAATTATTTCTCGCTAACTTTTGTGAATGCATCTAATAATATACTTTCTCTCTTGCTCTTACTATAATTAATTTTAAATTTTTCAAGGACATTCTATAATCCAATCTATCTTTTACAAACTTAAAGTTCTCCAATTAAAGAAAATGGATCTATATATCTTAAAAATAATAATTACTTGCATAAACTTCAGTACCATAACTTGCTAAGTAATATGCTGATCCTAAAGCATAACAATCAATAAAAGTATAAAAAGGAGCATCTAAATTTTTTGCTGCTTATTCAAATGCTTCAGCTACAATTTATGCTTAAGTTTGATCTCCATATGCTAAATTGATATTTTCTAAAAATAAAAACCTGAGTTTATTGATAACATCAAGACTTTAGGCTTTTCTTAAATATGTTTTCTAAGCTAAAATATAATTTTGTTTGCTGATGTTTATGTCATTGCCTTTGAAAATACAAAGTGAAATATTTCTCTTTTTGGTCTCCATGGTTTGAGCATGAAACGAACGCTATTATAAAGCATTGTACTCATTATTTACAATAAATATATATAATTATTCAAAGAATTCCAAAGAACTTTTTTGTCGCTACCTTTTTAGTTTCACTTTAACTTTCTTTAATTATTTTATTTGTCAAATCATATAAATTATGGATATCTTTCTACATTTCAAGTAGATTTTTGTATAGATTCTAATATTCATTATAAAACTCAGGGATTTAATTCAAATTAATGTTCTGAATTTAATTTACAATTGTACATTTAACTAATTTTAATTGAATTTTAATCTATATTTTTTTGATTGCTCATAAAAATGAGATTTTCGTTGAAAATCTTAGATTTTCATTTTAATCATCTACAAATTGACATAATTTTGATGGGCATCCATATTAAAGACTCCAATTTTAAGATAATTCCTAATTTATGATTAGAAATTAATTTACACTTTAAGAATTTTTACTTTTATTTAAGCATTTTTTGCTAAGTTCTTAAAATTCTTGATGGCTAATATTTAATTTTTGATAATCAAGCTTTTCAATAAATAGTAGAGTTGATTAATAAGTAGTAAAATAGTATTCATCCTCTCCAGTAATCCTTTTAGGAGATCTATAATAATTCACAAATAAAATATTAGAATAAGCTTTTTATGGTTAAGCTTTAAGAATAGCATAAATTAAAATAGGTAAAAGATTATCATTACCACTTGATTAATTAACAATAGCTAAGTTAATAGGATGTATAAATTACCACTCGTTTATTTACCTGCATTAACAACACAATTCAGCTTTTCTTTTGGAGTTTCTACTTTATCAATTTTAGATATTACTAAAATATATTAACAATATACATTCAACAATTGAACTAAAAATTTTATGTTTTTCAATATTTTCATCAATTTTAAGATGTTTAGCTTAAATAAATGAATATACTTTTATTGAAAATTCAATTTCTTCATCTTTTAGAGGATCGATTGAAATTAATCTAAATTCGAAGATCGATAAGAATACTTTGAACAAAGTGGTTTCATAACAAGTTTTTCGATGACTTCGCCATTTTCTCTTAAAAATTCATCTGATTCTTTCCATAAATCCTGAAATTCATCTTCAAAGTCGCTGATTTTTTATTAAATGATGTTAGGGAATTAATGAAATTAATATTTGTTTTATTATACATCTCTAATGAAGCTTAACTTTAATAAATGCAAGATTTCTACATAATAATTTTTTATTTGAGTGCAGCTGATTCAGTTCTTTTCATTTTATCAGATATAGTTGAATCTGCCCTTTTTGATTATTCTAAAGACTATTTTGTTTCATCAATTATGGATGATTAATCCATGATGTTTAAAATAATTAAATTATATTATTATTTATGGATATCATATATAATTATATTCTATCTAATACTTAAAAAGATGATGAATAGAAATTGATAAAGAAATATAAGTATTCATTTGATCACACAAGGACGATATTATAGATTGAGTTCTTTGAGTAATTCTATGGAACAATAACATAAAGGTGTTTTTCCTTCATTGTTTAGTTTATCAATATCTGCTCCATTTGATACAAATAAGTTGATGATAATAATATTACCTGAAGTGAAAGCAGCAAAAGTAGGAGTTTCTCCATCTTTACATGGCATATTAACATCAGCACCATTATTCAGAAGAAAATTACAGAAGGGAACACTCTATTATTTGGCAGCATAATATAATGGACAATACATATCAATATCATAGCAATTTACATCACTTACATCAAAAACGAATCCTGAATGCTCCATCCATAAAGTATTATTTACTTTTAAAGCTAAAAATAATTTTCTCTATTTCAATTTTAATTAAATCATAGCTTTAGGAATTGGAACTTTTGAATAATCAAGTTGTGGTTTTTTTATTATATTTTTTCTATATTATTGTTGTTATAATGCAATCTTTAAACTTTTATAGCATCCTTCAACATCAATTTATTTTCTCTTTTCATTTAATTTCTAAACAAGTCTATAGAATTTTGCTGGTTAAGGAGTTAAGAATTTCTTTTATGCAATAGCTTTTTCAAATCTTTTCTTTGATATATAAGCCTTCAAGGCCTTCTTAATTTTATTAGCAGCAGCCAATTCAATTTCAGGTGTGATCCATTTATTTGTATATGGTAATGTAGTATCACTTTCCTCTATAGTTAATGATTGATGTGCATAAGGTCTTTATCTAATAGGTCCTCCAGAATAAAATTAAAAAAAATTAGATTTATTCATTTCGTAATCCTTTTTTTTCAATTTTAATAAGTAATCTTAAACTTTAATAGGAGTTTTTGGATTTCCATTTAAATCAGGCTAAGATTTAACAATTACCTTTGAACTAGGATGTGTTTTTCTCATAACTACTTTAAGTGTCAAACTTTCGGTCTTGGATGGGAAAATAGGTTTATTTGAATCATTTGTTGTTGCTAATTTCTTTTCTCTCCTTTCCCTTTTCTAAATCTAAATTAATCATACCTTTCTCTCTAATATTGACATCATTATGTCTTTAAATTTCCAAACCAAAGGATTGGCTATTGGATTACCTTTTTTAAATTCTTATTTAAAAATCTTATATTTTTCAGTATTTTGCTTAAAAGTATCTTTTCTATCTTCTTTCATTTCTCTAAGCATTTTAAGAAATTTAATCTATTTAAATTTGATATCAATTTACCTTTAATTTCTTTATATCTCCTTTATTTATTTATTAAATGTTAATTTATGATCTATCTTTTTCCTTTGCCTTTTAATTGACTTTCAAATAAAGATGTCTACTTTGATTCATTTCTTTGGATACTTTATAGTATTAATTTAATATATTTTCAGCTATTGTCAATTCGATATCACTTATAATTTCAGAATCCAATTAATTGATTACTGTTTAAAGCAATCTTAAAATAATAAAATAATTACTTTTTATTTGAACATTTATTTAATAAAATACTTGTATTAACTAAATATAATAATTCATCTTCTGTCATAGCTTATTAAGTATCATATTTAATTAATAGTTCTTCTCTTCTTTATTGATCCTGTCTTTCTTTATCATGTGTTATAATGTATTCACCCATTCCAATAGTATTAAATGAATTACTATTTACTAACATACCTAATCTATGTTTGGCAGAATTCCTTTTTTATTTGAATTCACTTTCTTTTTCATTAGACCATTATATATTAGTTGTTATTTTTTATTGCTTTTTAATTTTATGCAACAAATTATTTAGTTCATCAATTATTGATTGCATATCAGGTTTTTAATAATTTATGTTAATAATATTGTCTGATGAATATATTTTTTTACTATTCTCCTTAGAATTCAATATTTCAATTAATGCAAATTTTAACTTCTTTTTTAGACTTCTGAATTTAGTGTGAATATCAACCCAATTAAAAATATTGAGATTATTTTCATTTTCATGAATAACTTTTATTTTATTGCGTTGAAGTTCTCTTTACTCTAATTTCAATTTCCATTATTTCAATTACTCAAATACTTAATTTTAGAGTTATTTAATTATGAATTCTTCTCTCTCTTACTAAGAACCTAAACTTTATACTTTATAAAAGGATATGCCTAATTCTAAAGCAATACGAACACATTCATTTCTATCTATTTGATCATTGCAATGAGTTACTAAATAATGAATTCTTTCAACAAATGTATCCAAGAATGAAACCATAGGTATTCCATCCCCTATTGTAGATTTTACACTTTTTAATGTAGAATTATGAGCTGTACTAATTTGACTCATTGAATGTCGTTTCTGATGAAACTATTTTAACTTTGCATCAAATTGTTGCACTGAGGTCAATCCTAAAAATATGTCATCTGTCATAATTATTAGCGTTATTACAACTATAAAATATAATATATATAATGAAATCTCATTCCTAACATGAAAATGGAACTTTTTAACAATTGGGTCGTTTGAGAATACCAAAAGTACTCTTTTTGCCAGGTGAGCCTATGGCCAAATAACGAATTGCTTCTCTTCCTTCAAGTCCTGTAAAAGGAATTCCAAATTAAGCTGATGTTTAAGAGAAGTTAAAGATATTACAAGCTGAGAGAGAGGCTAAATAGAAGTTGTAAGAACAAGAAATGTTTGAAAGAGACAAAAGATGTTCATTTAACAGATAAGCTCACATTATAAACAAGTTGCATAATGTCGAACAGTAGTTAGACAGATGGAAGAAGACTCGACATAATATTGAATTGTAAGTTGTTAGAGTAGCAAAAGTGTTAACAAAACCAAGATGAGCTAGATGATCGAATCTCAATAAAAGACTGCACTTGAATTTCACCGTTCAATTTAACAAAGAAACAAGAGTTACTCTGAGTTTGAACATAGAAGTGCTGGAATCTAAATTAATCATGAAATTTTTTTAAGGAGAAAGGATAGGGAGAGGGAACGAACTTAATTGGTTAATTAAACTAGATATAGGAATAATGTCGATTAAGTATTATCTTATTTATATTTAAGATCGATAAAAATGTACGAATTATGCAGAAAAAATATAGAACTGAAAAAAAGTGTTTTGCACTTCGAAAACCTTTATATAATATTAATGATCTTAAAAATTATTCTCATTTCTTATTATTTTGAATATAATCATCAATTTTTATTTAAACTATTCAATCTAATTTTATTTATCACTTTTTTTCTAATCTAAGAATAATTTATACTAATTATTACATTACGTCCATTTATTTAAAAAATTTTAAATCAATTTAATAACATTGCTTAGTACATGAAGGAAATAATGATCCTTAATAGTTTTTGGAGACATTGAAAGATGTTAAAGAAATAATGATATTAGAGTAAATTTGAGATTTAACTATAACACAAAATATCACATTAATAAGATGGATTTTTGGAAAACAAGTCTATCTAGACATTATTGTTAAATTTAAACATAAAGTGGATATAAATTTTTGGAAAGTGAATATTTTGAAGAAGGTGCCTTAATTATTATATTTATTGTAATGAATATGAATAGTAGTGTAATGAATATATTTAATTTAGTTGTTGTTTTTATGTAGGAAATAGGAGTTTATTTTAATGCAGAACAATCCTAAAGATTTATATAATATAATAAGTAATATGATATAAAAGATATTATAAATTGGGAATGAAGTATGGATATTTTACAAAATAGATGGGAAGAGTAGTTAATAATATATAGATTTGGATGTTATTAGTAATGTAAATGAGTAACATGAAATTATTATTGTGAATGAGTTTAGTGAACATTGATGATACTTTGTTAATTGAGTAAAGGAAGACTGAAGAGATGTTAGAATAAGGTGAGAGGAAATAGGATTGGAATGAAAAGATTGGGAAATTATTGAATATTAGATGAATTATAGATATTGAATGATAAGTTAAAATTGAAAAATTATATATAAAGAACAGGAATTGTTAAAAAATATCTTTTAGAAATGCAATCTATTGAAATTATTGAAAAATAAATTTAATTAGATAGACATATTTATGACTATCTAGTTCTGCTGAATTAGGTACTTTTTTACATTTATTCATCTCTGATATAAATATTTAGAATGCTATAAATTAGTATGACATCGAAAATTGATTAACTATTGATACTACTGATGATGAATTTAATCATTTATCTTAAGCTTTTAGATATAGATCTGGGTTGTAAATTTTAAAGATAAAGGTTATTATTTTAGAATTGAAACCTATAATAAAGAATGGATAAATAAAGTCTTATGATAAATAAGGAATTTAAAGTGATTATTTTTTATTTTTAATGGCATACTAAATTGATTTCTCTAAATTAAAATTGATCACTGATGACACTCCTTAATTAAAAAGGGAACCTCCAGCCATCTTCGCTAAAAAAGAATCCACAGATTATTTCGATGCTAATTCAACAATTTGTGAATGCAATGATGATATTCAACCTTATTCTTTTTAATTAAGATTCAAACTTGAATTAAAGTAGCAACCTATTTCTCAAAATTAAGATGATAAAGAATTTTGTAATATGGGTTCAAGTTTTGGAGTAAATGAAAATGATAATCAAGAAAATCAATAGAATCATTAAGAAAGACAATCTGATACTATTCACATTAATAATTGTATTGAATCTAATCATAACTAATCACCTGGAAATGTTAAATCTCATTTTAACCAAATTCAAAAACGAAATGTTTCTGTTTAAACTAATAAATTATTTCTTGTTAACTAGCAATAACTTTATAAATCAAATCAAAAATATATTAATCATGCCATTTATTAAGAAACACTTCTTAGCTTAAAATAGAAATAAACTCTAAAAAAATTCGTTAGCAAAAAGAAAAACAAATATCATTCAATCTACTTACTATTACTTTTGATATTATTTATTATAATATTGATATTGTGTTTATGATTAATATATAATTAGATCAGAATCTTAATACTCTGTCCTAAACATACAACATCTCATATCTGGTGTTGTAATCCATATCACCTGAAGGTTTACATGCTAAATCCCAATATGAAGTATTAAACACCTATTCATTTATTATTCAAATTAATTACTTAGCAAGGATCTCCTAATAAGAATGTATTCCAAATTATAATGTAAGCAAACAAAACCCAACCACTTCTGTACATCAAATTCATGGCAATCACATGCATCTTGTAAGTATAACTGTGATCCTCTTCCATTCCTATGCTATCTCCTGCCTATCTTAACACCAATGTCTTGAATAATCCTCTTTAATTTAAGTTATTAAATATCTTACTGTCTACCAATGCCATGATAATATCCAGTCTAATATGTTGCTAACAATTTTGGATCGAATCTATTGATGTATTAATAGTAAGCATGCTTTGAACATGTCTTGTAAAATCTCTTCTCCATTTTTATTAATATATATGAAATCCCCCTTTCAATAATAATTTATGTACTCAACACAATAGATGTCTAAATTTTGTAACACCTATTCTACCAATTACAATACGAATACTAGACGATATGTTTCAAGTGCCAAAACCTCTCCAGTGACTGGACCACTCTAAAAATTAATTGAAACTGACAATGAGACATTTTCAAAAAGAGACAAGAATTAATAAGTACTTATTCAATTAAATTTATGAGCATCTCTTATAAGAAATTCTCAACACAAATAACACAACAAAAATCTAGAAATTAATCTCTACATTTATTCAAAATGATCTTACTACTGATAATCTATCCCAATAAGAACTACTTAATCTCATTCTTAAAGTATATTAGCTCAACCTCTATGAAGAAATCAATTTCATTAATATACTTTATGAAGCATATATTGAAAAACAACACAAAGAAATTCTAAAATATATCATATTGCATTGTCATGAATAACTAATTGGTAAATCTGGTAATGCAACACGATTATTAGAAATATTTTAAGAAATGCTCACTCTAACTCCTGATTTTACTTCATTTCAATTAGAATATCAATTAGAATCTATTCCAGTTTCATTTAATCGTATTCAACTACGTTGTATGTTTCTACTTAATCAATATGATATTTTGCGTTCTTTAAAAGGAGCTGTCGTATTGTTTGAACAATTGGAAGGCTTTGTGTTTTAGTAATTTAAATCTAATTTAATACCAACTTAAAGTGATATCAGTACATTAGTTATTGCATACATATTATTGAGTGAATAATTAGAATTATCTAATCGTCTTGGTTTAAGTAAGTAGGCTCTAGAAATCATTGGAAAATCTAATGATTCATCAATTACTGATCTAAAAAGAAAGTTTATCTATAATGCATCTAAATTATCACAAAAGTATTTAGGTCAAATTATTTTTGAATAAATAAATGGTTTGCATAGAAAAATGAGTCCTGATTTAAATAGATCTTAAATGGTTTCATAGGAAACACTTATACATTAATTTTTATTAGATTCTCTTGATATGCAATACCTCAAAAATAATAAAGATATGTTTGATATTGATCGCTTATCTACTAATATAATAACATAGCCTTACATTTACACACTTATGGAAAAGTAAAAAGTTCTTTTATATTAGAATTTTACCTGAGAATAAAAAAAAAGATAAAGTTTTATCAATATTTAGTGATGATCCCATAAGACCAAGTTCAGGAAAACAATTTTAAATTAAATAAATTAAAAATGAACTTAATAGTCCAAATTAAAGTAAGTTTAAATAATAAAATTTTAATGTTCTTTCCAATAATAATTCTTAAACCTAAATACCTACTACAAGTACAGTTATTAAACCTGTTACAAATAGACCACCTTTAAATTAATAATTATCATCTGGATCATTGCATTCATCTGGTAAACTTAATTAATTTGATTCTTAAGAATTTGAAATTATTTAAAATAAATTAGTAATTTAATAAAGAGAATTAGATGAATTAAAATAATTATATGCTTAATCATAATCAACAAAAAAGTAAGAACCTGAAAACAATTAACTAGCAGAATAATTAAAGAAAAAAATAGATTTATTAGAGAATAACTTATGTTAAATTAAAAATGAAAATTCAAACAATAAAAAAGAAAAAGAATAAAAATAAACTGAAGTTATTGAATTAAAAGTATAATTATAAGATTTAATTACTAAATAATCATAATTAGAGAAATTATTGCAATCTTAATCTTAATAATAATAAATGATAATATATTAATAAAACCTTTTATAACAATAAGCTGCTTAAACTACATAGACTTTGAATTAATATTAATCAAAGCCAATAGCCTAAACAGCACCAATTAATATTCAAATACCAGCTAAAGAAGTTTAAAAATAATAAATTCTAAATCATTCTAGGGATGAAGATTTTATCTAAATGGATGAAACAACTCCTTAAGCTTATAAATAGAACTAAAATTATATTATACAGTTATTTGAAATGCTTGATATAAATTTGACCTTTTCTAAAATGTATACTAAATATTAATCAAAATCTCAGGATGAAAAGAATTAATGGAATAGTGATATTTAAAATATTGCAAATTATAAAGTAGAAGCTTCAGTCGTTGAAAATAAGGATGAAGGTAAATCCATTCTTTTAAGAGCATTTGATGATAAAAATTCATTAATGTGTTAAGAAAATATAAATTTAGAATTACTAAAAGGTTTAATAAATTATGTAGATTTTTACGAGATGTTACCAACTAATCAACCTAATATAAGTACAACTCATTAATTCTTTAAATTTTTGGTTTTACCATACACTGCAGTGGTTCCAGATGAAATAACACAAGACATGAAATTATAATTCTGGCCTAAACCTTATGGATTATTGAATGGATTGACTCTAAGAATAGATTTTATGGATGCTAATTGTTTAATATATATTCATCATATTGAAACAGATTAATTTAGAATATCTATTTGTGATCCAATAAGTAAGGATACTTTACGATTGGATTTAGAAATGGATTATTCTACAATGGATTCATTCTTTAAAGATGCTAAAACAATTAAAGATTAATATTCATTTTTTAGTAAAACTACATTACTTAAGATGACAGAAAAGACTCCTAAATTTGGTGATGATGATGTGGCTGAAGCATTATAGGAAAGAAATTTTGATAAAAATAAAATTAAATAGGTAAATTAATCATTATCAATAAATTAAACATTTATGACAGAAAATTTAATACTTAAAAATTCTATTGAATTTCTTAAATATTTAAAGAATATTGTGATATCTTTTGAATAATTTATTAAATCTTTAGGAATATCATTCTCGAATACTTAATTTGGATAAAAATATTTTAGATGTAAGAGTTGGAATACAGGGACCAAAAATTAATTATAATTAGTAATTGATAATTAAGATCAATAAATGGTTTAAGTATGTTTACATAATTGTTTTGAAACATTTGGGCCAAACAAAACTAAAATTAAAGCTAAAGGATAAACAACACTTCTTTATTCATCAATTTAAAGAGAATTCTCTGTTAAATATGATAGATTAACAACAGAAGAAAAGATTGTAATATTTTAATAGCTTTTATATTCATTTAATCTTAATATATTTGAAAAAGCATGTGAGTAAAGTTAAGAATAATTTGATAAAAACCCTATTATTTAAAACTCTTATGATTGTGGTTCTTATAAGAGGTATTTGTTATTTTATTAAATTGATAGAATGATTTTATATGATAATTCTAAAATTTCAGTTGTTACAATTTCAGTTATAGGAGCAAATAGAAGAATGTGTGGTGTTAAATTTTCAGTTTTTGATGTTGATACAACATAAGAAATTGGAGTTTATTTACCAACATCATAAGGTGAATGGGACTTGAGATCCTTAGATAAATAAAAAATTAAATCATCTGTTGAAAATGTTCCTTTTGCAGAGTTTTTCCTTACCTAAATTATTAAATGTCCTATTACTACCTAAGTAATACTTATTTATAATACTAGATTCTATTTAAGAAAATATTAAAGGCAGATACTAAAAATAATTAAATCAATAGTAACGAAATAAATAATCGAAAGGCATTTATTGAAAGAATAGATAATCTAATAACATGTTAAGAAGTATTGGCTGCTTCTTTAAATTGATTTTGTTATTNTCATTCTTTAAAGATGCTAAAACAATTAAAGATTAATATTCATTTTTTAGTAAAACTACATTACTTAAGATGACAGAAAAGACTCCTAAATTTGGTGATGATGATGTGGCTGAAGCATTATAGGAAAGAAATTTTGATAAAAATAAAATTAAATAGGTAAATTAATCATTATCAATAAATTAAACATTTATGACAGAAAATTTAATACTTAAAAATTCTATTGAATTTCTTAAATATTTAAAGAATATTGTGATATCTTTTGAATAATTTATTAAATCTTTAGGAATATCATTCTCGAATACTTAATTTGGATAAAAATATTTTAGATGTAAGAGTTGGAATACAGGGACCAAAAATTAATTATAATTAGTAATTGATAATTAAGATCAATAAATGGTTTAAGTATGTTTACATAATTGTTTTGAAACATTTGGGCCAAACAAAACTAAAATTAAAGCTAAAGGATAAACAACACTTCTTTATTCATCAATTTAAAGAGAATTCTCTGTTAAATATGATAGATTAACAACAGAAGAAAAGATTGTAATATTTTAATAGCTTTTATATTCATTTAATCTTAATATATTTGAAAAAGCATGTGAGTAAAGTTAAGAATAATTTGATAAAAACCCTATTATTTAAAACTCTTATGATTGTGGTTCTTATAAGAGGTATTTGTTATTTTATTAAATTGATAGAATGATTTTATATGATAATTCTAAAATTTCAGTTGTTACAATTTCAGTTATAGGAGCAAATAGAAGAATGTGTGGTGTTAAATTTTCAGTTTTTGATGTTGATACAACATAAGAAATTGGAGTTTATTTACCAACATCATAAGGTGAATGGGACTTGAGATCCTTAGATAAATAAAAAATTAAATCATCTGTTGAAAATGTTCCTTTTGCAGAGTTTTTCCTTACCTAAATTATTAAATGTCCTATTACTACCTAAGTAATACTTATTTATAATACTAGATTCTATTTAAGAAAATATTAAAGGCAGATACTAAAAATAATTAAATCAATAGTAACGAAATAAATAATCGAAAGGCATTTATTGAAAGAATAGATAATCTAATAACATGTTAAGAAGTATTGGCTGCTTCTTTAAATTGATTTTGTTATTATAATATTATTAGTTTTCAAAAATTATAAATAACAAAATGTCAATTTATCACTTTTATAAAATAATCTTATTAACTTTATCTTCTTGAAATCTATAGTATTTAGTTTTTGAGTGAACATCATTTTCAAGATAATATTTATATAAATCAGACAGAGGAGCATTATTATTAAGTACAAGTTATTTTGCTTTAATGAACTCTTTAAATTAAAGATACTCATCAAATTCTTATTTGAGACTTTAATTGTATTAACATAAATTCTATTAAGGAGTGATAGAGTATTATATTGGTTGTTGGCATCTTGATTAGGTGTTTGCTTATTGTTTTTATTATTATTGAGGAATGTAACTCTTTCCATTATTTCCAATATTTCCAATAAATGAATTATTTTAAGAATGAGGTAGTTATGTTTCTAATTAACTGTTATTTAAGTTAAACTCTTATTATTTTTATTGGTTCATTAAGGATGGAGTATATTAATTTAAAGTGTCAAGCATTTGATCTAGTTTTAAGTTTATTTTCTAAATTTCAGGTCTAGTATATTCTTAGAGTTTCATTTATTATGGATTATTTTAAGGTAATATTGTTCTAGATTGATAAGTAGCAAAAGTTTAGTATTATTTGAAGGAATTGAAATTGTTGTCATTCATTATTGATTAAATAAAATAAATTTAAATTAAAAAAAATGGTTAAATAGAAAGAATAAAAATAAAAGTGAATATTTAATTAATAAACAAATTTCGAATGCTATTAATAATATTAATTGTGTTAGGTATTATAGTAGCAAAAGATGCTGATTTGATTGAAACAGAGATAGCTTAATTAGAGCATTTAATATAATTGCAGACTGAGAAGTTGAATTACTTAAAAGAATTGAGAGATGTAGTGATAAGCAATTAATAAAACATTCCTGTATTGAATGATTAAAATAGGGATAGTAAATTGATTAACAAGAATTTTAAGAGGTTGTATAAAAGAAAGCTTAGAAGGGTTAGAGTATTGGGAAACAAATTTAAAATAAAGAGAGATCATTTACAAATAGAATGTTAAAGAAATATTAATTCAATATCACAAATTCAATAATGGATGCATCATTGATATAGACGTAAATGATTATAGATGATGATTGATAGTTTTTAATACAAATCTCCAACAACTGATAATTAGTTTACTTAAATGTTATATGTAATTACAAATACAAAGGAAATAGAGATATATGATTTATCAAATACAATGATTATAAATGAATAATTAGGTATAAAATGATAAAATGTTAGAATTTTAACCATAATATGTATCAATTAGTAATAGAGCAGATGATCCAATCTTAGCTTTGGCAAGTATTGATTGATTTACAATAATTTAGATAAAAATGGTTAATTTGCATTGTATAGGATAGAGAATAAAAGAGTAGTAATTGAATAGGAAGATTCATAAAAGTAGAAAACTAAATTAATGATTTAATTGAATAAAGAATTTGAGATCAATGTTAATAATTAATAGATTACATCAATGATTTATGCAATGGTAAAAGGCATCAAATATATTTTATTTGGTTCAAGTAGTGGAAGTGTATAGTATTTATATAAAGATATAATAAAAGCGTATATACTAGGAATGGTACATTAATAGGTGAGAAGAACTTCAATACTCCAATCTTATAAGTGGTTAAATCATATCCAAATATGTTATATTTAACATCAAGTGGATTTGGTTATATAAATCCTATAAATCTAGAAATAGTATAGCCAATTTGTGAAAATGTATATTTTATAGTAGATTATTATTATTAGTTACCATTTTAAATAGTTCATTTGACCTTAGATATTCAATAATAAAATATTGTTTATGCTTTATCTGATTTAGGAGAAGTATATGTTTTTGAAATTAAATAAAATGAGTAATGCAAAATGAGATAAAAACTAGTGAGTAATCAATAATCTTCATTTGTCTTTAATAATGCTAAATTATATAGTTTAAGACATTATTTGATTGTATATAATTAGGAAAGTAGAGAATCTTTATTATATAATACAACAGATATTTTAACTGAACTAGAATATGAATAACCTTTTAATCTTGAATTCTTTAAATAAATTAAGAGTAATTAAGTTGTATTACAATCAATTAAAGGAAATGCTGCTTCTCATTATCTATTAATTACAGAAATATATAATAATCATCAATTGATCAGTTATTTTGAGATTACGATGCCTTAAAAGAAAGATACTGATATCTTCGCAAATTTTAGATTTCCTATTATAATTATTGCAATTGTTATTGTTCTACTTTATTAATTCTGGTTTAAAGGAAAGAAGAAAGACAAAAAGGATAAATAATCATCAAAATCTAAAATAAGAGGCGAAGATGAAGAAATAGAATAAATATTGAATTAAACAAAAAAACCTTAGAGTGGAGGTATTGGATCTACTTCTACCATTTAAAATAGATCTCCTACAAGAACAGAAGTATAAAATGGATAAAAACAAGTAAGATTTGATGAGAATCTAAAAAGAGCAGATAAATTTAAAGAGTAACTTGATAATCTAGATTAAAAAACTAAATTATTAAATGAAAGAGTAGGAGTTCCAAATAATATTGAAGCTTAAAGATAAAGTATTAAATTAATATATATAATAGAATTAGCACAATAAGCATTACTCTAAAAAAATAAATATGTATGATAGATAAATCATAAAAATAAATATATCATTCTTACTGTTTTCCATCAATATTATTATATAATGTATCATAATATTACTAAAGCTAATTCATAAATCCTGAGTTAGGTTATGCAATTGGTCGTTTAGATTTCACTAAATCTAAAGCTTCAATTACTTTCATTTTATGATTCTTAATTAGATATGCAATAATGAAAGTCGTTGATCTTGATTTTCCAGCAAAACTGAATATTTATTATTATATTATACCAATGAACAAGAATGTTCTATTATGAATTTACTGCATTCTCTATAAAAGCATTTGATTCATTGAATTTTGATATTATATCTTATTCCACACTATCATTGATGTTAATTATAAGAGATGTAAAATCTTAAGAAAATGGTGCTTTTGGCATTTCACAAGCAGATAATATATATTTCATATTTGCTATCTATATATCTTACACATTTACTTTCTAATAGTTTTTTTTTATTTAATGCACATCCTAAACATCCCAAATAAAGATTAGGTATTATCTCTATAGGAATACTATCCTCTTTTAATTATCTCATTATTAAGATAATTTTTATCTTATCCATCAAATTTTACACTGAAATATTATGAGTACTCTCATTCTCTTTTTTCTCTTATGTTTCCTCTCCTTATTACATTATATAAATATATATATATAAATTTAATTATTTATGGAAAACTCTGATTAGAATTCTAATATTGATGATAGAAATCTATAACTCTCTTAATTAGTTTTATAACAGAAAAGAGAAAAAATTGTTTTACAAAAAAAAATTTAAGCTTTAGAAAAATAAAATAAGTATTTATCCTCTTCATTAGAATCTTGAATTAATAAATGGAATCATATAAGAATGAAAAAGAAGATTAAGCACTTTAAATTAAATAACTTAAAGAACATATTGCTAAATAAGAATCTGTCACTATTAAATTAAATGGATTGATGTAACTAATTTATATAATGAAGAAAAAAGTTGCTTTAAAGAGATGATGATAATATATAACATGATCATTCATTAAGTGCACCTAAAACTGATGCTAAATCAAATAAATATGAAAATTTAGATAAAAAGAAAAAAGATTAATAGTAATCTATTATATCATTATTCTTTAGGTATATTGAAGAATAATAAAAATTGGATCTCAATGAATAAATTATTGCTCAATTTAAAAGATAATCTCAAAAAGATCAATCAGTTTCAAGTAAACTTCCTCCAATTGAAGATACAAAGAATAAACCAATTATTGTTTAAGTTCCAAAAAGTTAATTAAAGAAAATTAATCCTCAATTCTTAATTGAGCAATTACAAAAAGAATGAAAATAAATAAATCAATCTATTTTTTGTTAATTGTTTCTATAAAACTAAAACATTTCTTCTTCAATGGGATGTAATTCTTTTGCTCAACTAACAAATGAATGCAATGGTGGTCTCATATCTATATCTAAAAATTCATGTAAGAAACCAGAAACAAACAATCTTGAATATTATATAAAATTATACTTTTTAAGTTTCAAAACCTACTCTAGCAACCTCAAAACATTTAGTATTTTAATCTATAGAATTTAAATCTAATTATTTATCAGATTCAATAATTTAGTGAACAGCAATTCAGATACTCATGAATTTTGGAACTTCATAAATTTTTTTTCTCTAGCTAAATTCTCTTTTGAAAGTTCCTTTACTTTAATATCTAATAAAACTAAAGTATGTAAATTATGATCTAAATTAGCCTTGATTTTTGGATAAAAACTAAAATGTTTCCATTTTTCAGTAAAAAATGGTACAGAAACTATTTCAACAAATCTATAAACTTATACCCTGTGCAACCAATAGCATTAATAATTGATGCATTATGAATAACTTCTACTTTAATTCCCAATTTAATTGCTCGTAAAAAGAGATCTGTATGTGTAGTAGCACAAAATAGATCATCAACAACTAAGAAAGCATAATTATTTAATGGATCCTTTGATACATTTAAAAGTATTTCATCAATTCCAGTTTCGCAAAATTCTCTATCTGCTTCAATTACTTCTTTTCCATAAAATTCTTAAAGTTTTAATCTATTAATTCCAAGTATTGAAGTATAAAATTCTAAATAAATTGATTTACATGTTTTTACAGCCTTATATATATTATTATTATATTTACTTATAGTCCTTTAACAGTTATA